GGTCCAATCGTGACGAGATCGGTCGGAGTTTGGTGGGTCAGAGGAGTCGAGTTTGGAGAGAATCGGCTGAGTGAAGAGCGAGTGAGCGAGGATTGCGAAGGAGAGAGGGAAGATTAGGGTTAGGGTTATGAGGTAGAAGGTTCTTGGAGATCGTTTCTTGATTGAGATTGATTCTTGAAATAGTTGAGGAATCGACAAGAACTGAAGCTCTTCTGGTTGGAGATCCATGGTCGGAATTTGGGTTTTGATCGGAGTAAGATTTGAAGTCGCCGACAAAAACAGAGGAGAGATGAAGAAACGAAGACGGGTCAATTTCGAAATCTGAGAAAGATGATAAATTTGAAGAACAACCAAGAAGATGGAAAAAAGTGTTTAAAAAAAAATAATGGAAAAAAAATTGACGAAAATGACTTTTTTGGAAACTTCTGGGAAACTCTCAGAACACGTTTAAGTTTTTTACTTTTTATTGACCAGATTATAATATTTTATTTGGGAAAATTTGGAGATTAAAATATAGTCGACGAGAAAGTGAATATTTTGTGTATATTTACTTATACTAATTAGATTAAAAAAAATTATTATTAAATATGTAAAAAAATTGTCAAACAAACTATAATTTTGTATGTTAATTGTATAAAAAAATTTATTGGTTAATGAATAAGATTTAGAGAAACTATTATATTTTGAAGTTTTCTATAAAATTTATTATATTTTGTTACCATTTTTAAATTTCTTTTATTTATTCGATTTATTTGATGGGAAAATATGTAATTGTCTAAATGGGTCAACAAGTCTTTGAGCACAATTCTTCTTTTTGCATGATGTTGAGACGCTAACATGGAAATAGGCTTAACTCTAAATGACTTTGATTTTTTTTTTAGTAAAGACTTTCATGTTTCAACACCTATTCTTCTAAATCTTTTCTTTTAATAAATGTTTTTCTGTTGTGAAATAGAGAGAAAGAGAATGGGAAAATTCGTATTTTCTTTCATTAATCAAGTATTCTTTATATAAGGATCAATACATGTGATAAAAGYAAGTTTCRTTTTCCTAAGAMAAAASGAAATTARTTTCKTTTTCCTAAAYAGAAAAGGAAATTACCCTATGACTAAYTATAGATGGGCCGGACCGGGCTATACTGAATCAGAACTGGTTATGACAATCCACTATGATTTATAACA